TCACAGATCAATGTTTTCCAGCCTGTAATGCACAGATTCCTGACAATCTTTATACTCCTCCCACAAGAGTCAGCAAAAGGTGAGATAAAAAAGCCTGTGGGCAGGAGCCTTACGTTCACTACATGGAAGGATGCACCTCCACTGGAAAATTTTGAGTTCATGTATCAAAAAATATTCAAACCCACTGCATTAAACAAATGGTATTTTAGTAAATTCACTGCTACACAGGTTTCTCCATGAGTATAGAGCACCCCTAGATTAACTCAGAGAAAAACAAGCTTATGTAGGCAACACATTCTGTAAGGCAACTGGCAAGCTTCAAAAATGACTGCATAAATATGACACCACCTAATATGACATCCTTTTCCTCAGTGGAGCTCCTCAAGTTTGAGGGAATGCAACCACATCTTCTCACTCAGATAATGAAATGTGCTTCAGATACGCAGATAAATGAGTTATAAAACCAAAAATCAGATTCTGGAAATCTTCCATTTCCAGAGCTGTCTTCCAGATTTCACTCATTAACCTTTCAGCTGTTTTTGTAATCACATTTCATTGCTGTGAAAATGCTTAAGTTGAAGTCACAAGTGCAGCACCGATGTAGGCTGAAAAGCACTTATGATTAGGAGACTACACGGAGAAGGAAGCAATGTGATCATCAAGTAAGGTCAAGCAGGTGCAGCCCAGCAGAGCTCAGTAAATGAGTCCAGTAATGACAAACTGATGGGATAAGCAGCAGTCACTTGATTTAGCTGCACTGGTATTACGGGGTTAGTAGAGGTAAAATACACAAATATATATTTACAACTCTGAACTCTGTTCTTTCAAAATATCTCCTTTAGAAACAGCTCAGAGTAGCAAACAGATTTCAGTCTTCACAATCACATTCAATTAAAATTCACTGTCAGCATGTAACAGGCTGTATTGCTATATCAGTTTTAGGTGCAGCTAGATAACTTTCAACTTACACTTTAATACTGCTTGCTTATAAGTGGCATATAAATCATTAAAACATGTTTTATAGATTAAGGAATTGAAAACTCATTGTTAATAGTAATATTTTGCCAAATATTATTATAGTGAGGCAAAATGAACAGACTATTTACATGGTTTAGCGAAAGAAATCCCAATTTATACATAAAATTTATCTCCTTTGTTTTCATTTCAATGTTTGGATCATGTTAGATTGCAACAGATCTTCCTGTTGTCATGTTTCTCCCAAGAAGAAACCATATAGCTACTAGTTATTGATCTGGCTGATAAATCTACCCAATGACCACCATGTAAACAGATAGCTATGGTTCATAACACTGTCAAAAACACACTTGCTCTTCACAGTTTAGTAGTAGGCACAGCCTAACATTAGTCTAGCCCTTTTTTGCCATTACAGTACTACAAGAGACCAGGTAAAGACAGAGGCCGACCTCATCCTTCTCTAGAGTCTAGTCCAGAGCTCTTTTAGGAGAATCCATTTTCATTTCTCTTTTATAGGTAGAACAGCCCAAGTGGTCCAAATGCTCTTGGAGAATAAGACAGGCTGAAGTAGGTCAACCCAGGCTTTTCCTGGTTTAACAGTCCAGAAACAGCATGCAAATCAAGACTGAAGAAGAAATACACAAGGAGTCAGCATAAGATAAAGTATGGCACAAAATAACAAAGGACTACAAAAGTAGTCCTTTTCTTTTTCAGGAGGACTACAGCAGATGAGAATAGCTGCAGTATCTCGACAGCAGCTCTGTTCTCTACGGTCTTTAGTTTCTCCTGCATTACCAAACCTAGATGCAATAACACCATGACTGTTTCTATGTCATCCCATAGGGAAAAAAAAAAAAAATTAAAAAATCAGGATTGGCGGCTTTGATAACTTACTGCTTTGGTACTACAGGAACTATGATCAATCTAAGAAATCCTTCAGTTTTGTGACACACCACTAATGGATGCTTACTAAGTATCATCTTGCCTTTTCCTCCCTCAAGCTGTTTTTTCTCTAGATACCAATATAATATTACCTGCAAGGAAAAATAACAACTGGAACACGTGTTTCTTTAGAAGGTTTTCAGTTTTTTCCATAATTTTCTCTATTGTTTCAGAGATATTAAACTCACAAGACTTGATGATTAAAAAAACATTCAGTCCAGCTCTATGAGATGGTGTAAAACTGTGGCACTCTGGATGGCCATATGCAGTGGTTTCATCCCAACATACAGTTCTAACCCTTGCACTATTATCAAGATTTGTGAAGAAATCTTCAGAAGAACCCCATATAGTTTTTCTCCAGCTCTTACGCCATAGGAACCTAAACACGGAGCTTTTAAATTTCTCATAGAATAGTTTGGGTTGGAGGGGACCTTTAAAGGTCATCTAGTGCAACCCTCCCTGCAATGAGCAGGGACATCTTCAACTAGATCAGGTTGCTCAGAGCCCTGTCTGACCTGAATGTTCCCAGGGATGGGGCATCTACTACCTCTCTGGGCAACCTGTGCCAGTGTTTCACCACCCTCACTGTGAAAAATTTCTTCCTTGTATCTAGTCTAAATCTACCCTCTTTTAGATTAAAACCATTACCCCTTGTCTTACTGTGACAGGCCCTACTAGAAAGTGTCTTTCTCATGAGCCCCCTTTAAGTACTGAAAGGCTGCCATAAGGTCTCCCCAGAGCCTTCTCTTCTCCAGGCTAAACAACTCCACCTTTCTCAGCCTGTCCTCATAGGAGAGGTGTTCCATCCCTCTGATCATCTTTGTGGCCCTCCTCTGGACCTGCTCCAACAGGTCCATGTCTTTTTTGTACCGAGGACCCCAGAGCTGGATGCAGTACCTCAGGTGGGGTCTCACCAAAGCGGAATAGAGGGGCAGAATCACTTCCCTCGACCTGCTGGCCACGCTTCTTTTGACGCAGCCCAGGATACAGTTGGCTTTCTGGGCTGCAAGCACACATTGCCAGCTCATGACCAGCTTTTCATCCACCCGTACCCCCAAGTCCTTCTCCGCAGGGCTGCTCTTAATCCCTTCATCCCCCAGCCTGTAGCGATACCAGGGGTTGCCCCGACCAAGGCGCAGGACCTTGCACTTGGCCATGTTGAACCTCATGAGATGCACATGGGCCCACTTCTAGAGTTGTCCAGGTCCCTCTGGATGGCATCCCATCCCTCAGGCATGTCAAATGCACCACTCAGCTGGGCATCATCTGCCAGCTTGATGAGGATGCACTCGATCCCGCTCGCTATGTCATCGATGAAGATATTAAACAGTACTGGTCCCAATATGGACCCCTGAGGGACACCACTGGTCACCATCATCTCCGCCTGGACATTGAGCCATTGACCACTACCCTCTGGCTGTGACCATCCAACCAATTCCTCATCCACCAAACAGTCCACCCATCAAATCCATATCTCTCCCATTTAGAGAGAAGGATGTTGTAGGGGACCATGTCAAAGGCCTTACAGAAATCCAGACAGATGACATCTGTAGCTCTTCCCATGTCCACTGATGTAGTCACTCCACCACAGAAGGCCCACTAGGTTGGTCAGGCAGGACTTGCCCTTGGTGCAGCCATGCTGGCTGTCTTGAATCATGTCCCTGTCCTCCATGTGCCTTCACATAGCTTCTAGGAGGATCTGTTCCATGATCTTCCCAGGCACAGAGGTGAGGCTGACAGGTCCGTAGTTCCCAGGGTCCTCCTTTCTACCCTTTTTTAAAAACGGGTGCAATGTTTCCCTTTTTCCAGTCACCAGGGACTTCACCTGACTGCCATGACTTTTCAAATCTCACGGAGAATGGCTTGGCAACTACATCAGCCAACTCCCTCAGGACTCTGGGATGCATCTTGTCACATCCCATAGACTCTTGTATGTTCAGGTTCCTCAGGTGGTCACAAACCTGATCTTCTCTTACAGTGGGAGGAACTTCACTCCCCCAGTCCCTGTCTTGCAGCCCATCCACTTGAGAAGTGTGGGAAGAGAGGCTGCCAGTGAAGACTGAGGCAAAAGAGGTTTTGAGTACCTCAGCCTTCTCCTTGTCCGTTGTTAACAGTTTGCCAGCCTCGTTCATCAAGGCGGGGGGGTATGCTTTCTTAGACCCTCCTTTTCTGGCTGACATAGCTGTAGAAGCCCCTGTTATTCTTTGCATCCCTTGCAGTTTTTATGTCTTTTATGTGTAGGTTTCTGGTAAGGAGCAATGATCTTATCCTGAATAATATCAGTGACAACAGAAAACAGGCAAGTTATTGTCAGGGTTGTGATGATCTTGAAATATTTTTATTCAGGTGCACCTAAAATCATTCCAGACAGATGCAGTTAGGTTCCAGAAACCTAGAAGTATTTTGAGAGGATGAGACAACCATAAACTAAGGATGACACTGTGTCTTCTTAAAAATCTTATACAAAATACTGAATTCAACAGTCTAATTGGCTACAAAAAATACATCAAAATTTCAGATTATATATACAATAAATCTTTTAAGAATGGATCACTGATATTTACAGCTGAAGACATTTTACATGTAGAACTTGGTCTCTGCACTTAATTAGAACACCTTTTACATTTACAGCCTTTTTATACTGCACCGAGAGGGTGCTTTTAAGATAAAATAAAATAGTCTTATCCATTTTCATTGAGGTATATGTAAACACTGTTCTTTTTCATTTTGCAAAATAAAAAGGACATATATAAATAAAGCAATTAAGTCCTGGAAACTTCCATTTAAATAAAACACCTCTACAGTTCAAATACACCATTAAAGCAAGGCATTAAAAACATATCAGAATTGTTCAGCAAAATCTCTAGGCAGATATTTTGGTAAGCTATGACTTTTGTTCAGCTGCTATCAGCTTTCTCTTGCAAGATAGAAGTATTTTCTGTCACCATTCCGTACTCATCAGATTCAGGTTCTAAATTATCCAAGTAGAATGGAGATCAATTTTGCCACCACAGGTACATTGAGGCTGTTTCCCAGAAGACGATAGCATTGCTTTATTGTTACTTTGTCAGGAAAGCCTAAAACAAAAACATACAGTGCAACATCATTAGTTTGGGTTTGTTCCTAGCTTTTAGTCTACTCATTTTTTCAGTGAACAGTTCTTAATGCAGTTACCACAGATTACAGCAGGGTTCACCCCCCAGTCTAAAATTCACAAAGTTACAAAAATAATTCCCAACCAGTTCATTGGATTCATATCAGTTCTTTCATTAGCAGTACTGCCATCTCTGAAGTTTAACAAGAAGCCTCAAAACATTGCTCTATTGTGTAAGTAATGCCAAACTATCTTCTCTTCATGTAGCTCAAAATATCCAGCAGTCTCAAGGAAAGGCAGCAGCACCTACAACACTGAACAACCGCTACTCTAGAGAACATCCACAGAGGAACATGGCCATGGCAGAAAGAAAAAGTGATGATTCTGCAGATGGACTAAACTGCATTTCTCAACAAGCTTTACATTGTACTTCCAATCTGAGCACCTCTAACCAGTTGAGGCAAATCAAATGAGTCTCGCAGTGCAATATACCACCAGCACAGATTAAGCTATAAGCAAGGCTTATTCAGTCAGTGATCAAGCAGCTGAACAATTTTCCATGTAATTCAATGCTGACCCTGTCAAATGCACTCAGAAATAAAGACAGCATCTGAGATGTCCTTCACATGGTAAAGTGCGTGGACTGGCAGAAAGAAGGGAGGCCAAGAAAAAATTAAACTGGCCCAGCTATTGTGAAAGGGCTGTGCTGTGTATTGAGCACCCAAAGGTGAGCAAGCTTCTGAGAACAAAGTTGCCAACAGCCAGTTGGTCTGCTGTAACTGTCTTTGCTTACACTCTTAGCTTACTCCAGCTGTGAGCTAAAGTGCATTTGCTTCAACTTGAGTGAAAGACGAACAGCAGTGGTGATTCAACCATTAAGGTCATTTGCTAAGCTGCTGAAACTTGATCACATTCAATTATTTGATCATTCCCCAAGAAGAAAACCTAACTTTGAGCCCAAGGTCATCACCCGCCAGATTAGCTTTGATGCATCAATACACTGTGTGTGCAAGTAGCGATACGTATGTTCTGAAGTTTTCATAGCACTTCAGAAAAATCCTCTTTCAGGGGTCGCTCAGGAGAGAACATGGTTGGACAGTTGCTGAGCCAAGGGTGGAAAGCTGAGGAGGAGGTGTCTGGGAGGAGTTGTTCCATCCTTTTCTGCCAGCTATTAATGCCTCAAATGTGGACTGCTTTGGTAAACACATCTTCTGCCAGCTCCATCAACTCTGCCCAGCTTCCTGGCACTCACATTTGGGCAACCGTTCTTCTCTCTTTGGAACAATCACTTGCACTCCACACATACTTCCTCAGATGGAGTTTTCACATTATATCACTGACTAAGGTACAGAATCTACACGTTTTGAAAGCATATATAAAAATAAACACATATTTATGCACACACACACACACGCATGTCCACTTACAGCCCAAGAAGCTTATCTGAACCCTGAAAATTTCAGAGTTTCTCCTTCTGCCTCTTGGTAACTGAAAACCTGAATTAATTTTCAAGGCTCACTGTCTCCTTTATCCCAAGGCTCCTCCATCTGCGTGTTAACATTATCTTGCACCTTCTATCTTCTTGCCTCAAGAGTAGCCTACATCAGAAGGACAGATTTAACAATTCATAGTACGATGGCACTTGCTGCACAGCTCTCATCATATCGTTTAGGTCATGCATGCTACTTGATGATGTTGCGGTCTTGGCAACACACACTGCCACATTGTGCTGGGTTTCTGCTAGGCTGCCATTTGTTTCCTAATAGCTTACATACATCACTAACAGGAAAAATGGAAAAGGCATCCTGACATCACCCTCATGAAAGCAGGTCACAGGTGCAAGAATGCCCTGATCACTTTTAATGATATTGCTGTGGGACCCACAGTAGCGACTAAGACAAATGACTGCAGCATTTCATTGACCTGTAGTGCAAGTACTATTTATACATTTAGATGTTAAAAGCACAAATAAATCCATTAATGTTAAGAACGAACAATGATTTTAACTCTGCATCTCACGTATTGGAAAAGGCCCTCAATTTGTTAAAACATAGAACCATTTAGACACAATCATGTTTCTTCTGGTAATACTGTAGCTACAGCTAGTAACACTATGTGTTACAAAGTTTCCTGACATTCTCTTCACTTCATTTTCAGCTTCTAGTTTTCTGATTCTTCAGCTTCTTGGACCAACAACATATTTGGGTACATTTCCAGGCTTTCTGTTGTTGAAAATTTCAGCACAAATGTTGCTGTCACTACAGAACACAGGAGCAGAGAAATTATAGCATATTTCCCTCTGAAAATACCACACTTCACAATAATTACTTGAAATTTAACATGGGAGAAATGCTGTGAGGGAAACACCCTTTACTGTAGCCATAAATATAGCAACTTTCAAAAAATCCCATAGCTTGCAAATCCTCAAAAGAAACTTAAGATTATAGTACCTAAATTCACCAGAGGTTTCAATCAGCCTAGAGCTGAGTAACACTTTTTTTTAAAGTACAAAGAGGGAAATGTCTTAGATTAAACACAAAGGAAACAAACGTCAGACTTGTGACTCATAGCAGTGGGAAAAACTTGCTCTGCCTATGAATCAGGAGTATATGTGAGAGGAAGCCACTGGATGAGAGAGGCTTGTTTTATGTGTTGTGAAAGTTGGACAAGTAATACAGTGAGGCAGGGAACTGCAAGAACTGTAAAGAAGGTCCTATGATTAAGGCAGAAGGGTACTGCCCTCTGAGAGGTGGAATCTGTCCCTGTCCCTCCCTCTGCAGTTCCCACGTGACAAAAGACAAGTTTGCTAAACGAGCACTTCATAGATGGTGGTGATCTGGATGCTCCTCAAATTCAGAAGCCTGACTTGTCTTGAGAGTTCAGTTCTGGTTTGCAAAAATATTGAACCTCACAGCTGCCCCTGAAGATGAGCTCTGAACAGAGAAAGCATGATATCATTCCAAGCACTCTGAAATAGTAAAGGTCAGGTTTTGCAAACTGATCACCCAAAATTAATGGGGTCTTCCAAACATTAATTTCTGCATTGTATTGGTTCTCACTCTGTAAAATATAAGCAATATTAACCCTGCTACACCTCTCAGTGATGGTGCAAAGACTGATTTAACATTTGGAAAACACAAGCTGTATTTTTTTAAAAAAAGAGAAAATGGGCAACTTTGTGCTTGAAAGTGATCTTGAACAGAATGATAAATCTATACAAGCCCAATCCAGCCCTGTTTAGCTCAAGTTTCTTCACAGCAGCCTACATCAATACGGAACAGAGCTGTGCTAAGAAAAAGGCTGTCTGCCAAAAGAACAAATCTATTAAAGAAGAGAGGCTATGAAAAAATCCTGCATGTTGGCATGTAATTCAACACAGCACACTCCTGCAAATACTCTTAAATAAGTAAGCTTAGTGCTGGCAAATGTAACATTTGACTTTGCAACCTTGATCATGTGCTTTTGAATGTAGTAATTTTGAATATAACTAAGTAATAAATGAGAAAACAAACTAAAACTGCAGAAGAAAAAAATTTATATAAAACTATTAGCACTCCTCAGAACTCTAAGTCACTGAGGAAGTCGAAAAAAATATAACCAATTACTCAAGGTCAGTTGTGTCTTATTCTAGGGATGCTTGTGTTGCTGAGACAATAAATTGATCTGATGTGTCAGCAGCAGGCCAAGCTCCTTAGTAGGTAGTAACAGCTACACTTTCTTGCCTCCCTTTCTTTACACGGGGAATTCTGGTGAATTTATTTCAGGCTTAATTCTGGTTGATCTGTGTGCAATGTACTGGTATTGCTGAGTCTTGTTCCTTGACTCCCTCTTCCTCACAAAAACAGCTAGAAAATTAAGTAACTGAACAAGGGCTAGGACTGCCTTTTCTAGAAAATAGAGATGACTTAAAAGGTCATTAACTGAAGAGTTTCGTTACTCCTAAACAAAGAAGTATCTGTACCTTCTGAAATTCCCTTTCTGTCAGCAGCTGCAAATGTGTGGAAGGGAGAAAGCAAGCAGCTCAAACACTGAGAACCACTAACAGAGCTCCTAAACTGGCAGGATATGTTGACTTAGCACAGTTGTGAGTAATGTTGGCTGCTGAGTAAATAGTTTCAACTTTACACAAAGGTATTCCTTCATTGCTGTTCAGTAATAGAGCATTTCTCACAAAACTTTTTTCTAAGTTTATGAAGATAAACCTAACCACAGGAGCTGGCTCTTACAAAATATAAAAAACTAGTGGAAATTCAGAAATTCAGTTAGCCAAATAGCATGAATCAATCATAAGAATTAAACGGTCTGAAAAAAAATGCAAAATAAAAAGCATGGATTAGTCCCCAGTAAAAAACCTACATCAGCATTTCTGAAGAATGATGTAGAAATGGGTACTTTGCACCACATACCAAATTCGAGAGGGAATCCATGAAGATTTGCTATTTCTCTTGGCGTAAAGTACCTCAGTTTTAGTGTTGACAATTTCATAAGCTTCTCTTCTTCTGGTAAGTCTTCAATGTGTTTAAACACTGATTCAAGCTATGAAGAATATTCAAAACAACAGATATTACTGACACAGGCCAAATACGTAAAATTCAACAGTCACATCTTAACAGAATATTTATTTAATTATCATAGTGCCAAAGACAATAGCGTGTTTTGCTTGAAAGTATAATTGGTGTTGTATTTTTGCAGCCATTATCTCAACACATGGACTTGCAAGAAAGAAATCAATGTTGCCATGAGGGCATTCATCATTTCTTCCTCCAGTTACAAGCTATACCAATACTTAATGAGGCAATCAAAGGACTATAAACATCTATTAATGACAGGATAGTGACTTAGTATTAACTCAATAGCAGACTATCCACACAAATTAAGCTGTATGGATGCAACTGTTTTAATACATTTGCTTTGAGATTATTCCTAATTCCAAAGCTGCATTCTTCTTATGCTTACAAATGCCATATAATATTAGTGAACAGCACAGAAGTGCAGGAGGCAGTGCCTGTGTACAAAACAGGCTGTGTGAAAAGTATCTTTGAATGCTGATTCACCGATACATTTATTATTACCTTCCCCAATGCCTAAATACCACTTTGTGGTGAACTTAGTATCAACAGCAGAACTTTTCAAAATACTATATCTTCCCAGATAAATAATACTTTTGAAATTCAAGCATGTTAAACATTTGACAATATTTACTGGATCATCTATGCACAAAAAATGGCACTAGATTCACAACACAGTACTGCAGTTTATCCACAGAATTAGTAATTTTTAATGTTTTCATGTACGCCTGTGAAACCTCTGTATGACACTACAGATAATAAAATAATAGCAACTCACATTCTCCACTCAGAAGCACACACATATAATTTTGATTTAAATAAACTGTTGTTTAGGAACATAAAGAAAATCAATTGGAAATTCAGTTGCCATAAAATGTAGTTTTAAAAGCTTTTTTCTTATAATATTCAGAATAACAAACCAGAAGACAGAAAAAAATTTAAAACAAATCTCGTATCAGTTTTAAAACAAGTCTCAAATTTTAAAATGTCATTCTTGTATGTTAGTCTCCACATTCTTACCTGTACATCTACTGCTGTCTGCAGAACTGAGCCTGTCCCTTCCACATAGTGTCCATACCTTAACAACAATAACAATCTTAAATTAATATTTTCATCGGACCTCCGTACTGACAACTGCAAAGATACAGGGAGGTTACTTAGGTTCCTTTGCCTTGATTAACAAATAGCATCCTGGACAGATAAAGCAAAAGGTCTTGTTATTAACAACGCTAACCCCTGGAGTGCAGTAGCTTCTGAACATGCTCCCTAGGGATGAGTCTGCAATCAACACACAAGGGTTTATCCACACTAATGCCTTATATAAGGCAACTAGGCAAATATACAAGGCCAAGGAATTCAAGCATAGCATCATCAGAAAGGGCCATCTACATCGCACAAACCAATTTTACATTAAGGCAAAACGTGTTAAAGGCCAAATGGTCCTAGGAGGTCAGATTGGTTCTCCATATTCAGAGGAGGACCATTAGTGTGAGCCTCCAGCTTTTATATCAGTCCATTAGAAACAAAGTGGTTCAGTCAGGTTTAACTTTTGGTTGCTTGTGGATTTTCCACAGGGGGAAGGGATAAAGGATGGCCAGGCATCCATGCAGAGCAGTAGAAGAAAGAAAGAAAAGAAGAAAGAAAGAAAAAATTAAATCCAACTACACAGTAAGCAAACTTACATTCTAAAACCATACAAAAGCTCTTTTGGATGCTTTGTGGTTGATTGCATAACAACATGTTTACCCTGTAGTCTCTTCCAGGCTATCATTTAAATATAATTATGGGCTTTCAGAAACATGATCTGCTCGTCTATGATGGTGTTTGAATGTCCTGAACAGAGAGAGACTGAAGCAAGTCAACAGATGGCTTTTGCACTGTGGAACAATTTCAGAAGATCCACTGCATTAGAGAGATGCAGTCTGCATCAATCATTAACAGATACTATTCTCTATTTTTATCTGCGCATCTGTAAAGACAATTATAAAGGTCTTTTGCTCTACTTGGGGCCCATTCTAAAGCAAGGCACTGGAACAATTTTTGTTTCAAGCCTTTCTAATTCCACAATGAATAAAGGAATACTGTCCCTTCAGCACAGACACAATGACCCAGCATGGCACAATCTTGAGAATTTCTTCTTCAGTTGGAAAAGCTTACGAGTAGTTCTGCCAATATCAGCGAGAGCAACACTCATTTGAAAATAAAGTGCTTGCAAATCTTCCTTAGGATCAGAACAAAAAGCCCTAAATACTGATGCAGATTAAAAACACATGGAATAGAACTGTGTTGTAAATACATCACCTTTAATTGGTTAGTTGCATTCTGAAAATTCCCCAATACCAAGTTTAACAATGCAACGCACATAACACTGAGGAATCCTGATCGTCATCTTATACAGCATCTGATCATATTTCAGATGAACATATCTGAGCCAACATAAATAAATGATGATAAATTTCAAAGTGGTATTTCACAGTTTTATTGGGGGAAAAGAATCTTTTAATAGGATCCATGTTATATAAAATACTCCAGTTTAAATAACTGGCACTAGAGTACAGAACTACCACCACCACCAAAATCTAGTTGGTGGAGAAGTGGTTTGGGGGCTGGGGAGCAGGTGGAGTGGGTTTTTAACACAAATGTGGGCAGACAGCCAGTGTTAGCTGGATTGTTATTAATTATTATTGCAGATGCTGACTACAGAAAAATTAACATTCCTACCTTAGACTCATAACATCATTAAAGATGGGAATTTTTGCCACAGTAAAAAATGATGCATTGATTTTCTGACATTTCATTACCAGTTATAATGAAAGAAGTTGGCTTAAGAAATTACAGTCTTCAATTTTCCTCTGACTCAAGACTCCCCCCCCACCCCTTTATTTCTGTAAGCTTTCGAAAAAAACTTTTAATTTCATATATATAATATATTATTTCTGGGTATATTGTGTCCTACATTATGACTAACAAAAAGGTAATTTCCACAACGCTAGACAGAGTTTCTGTAACTAATACTACACTATTTTAGAAGGTATTGCTTCTCTTGTCAATAGCTTATCAAGAATTTACAAATAAGTCCAGAACGATTATATCTAAAGAAGTAGTTTTCATTTGCTCTGCCCTTTAAAATGGACAATTTCCTCTCACAACTTCAGTCACCACAAATATACTCCTAGGAGAAACCATGGTGTTCGTAGTCTCAAGGAACTCAGCAATCATTTTCCAATTGCCTAGGAGTCCAAGGTCAGAAGGGAACACGGGATCATCTGCTGTCTCTGTCACACGTCACAGGCCATTAGATTTTGCCCTCTACTCCACCAAAGCCTTTCAGAAGACATACTGGTATGATGCAGGCAGAAAGGCAAAAAAACACTGATGAAATATCGGTGTTTGAGGTCCCTGAACTAGCAAAACCTGGAGAAGGCATATCTGGATTATCCTCAATACACAAACCTTGCTGGAAATACCTGAAAACCAATCAGAACCGAGGGAAATTTTTCTCCCAGTCTCAAAGCTGATGGTGAGTATGACTTCTAAGAAAGACACCAGACAGGCATCTCAGTGGAGGGATTCTCTGTACTACTTGGGAGTGCTGTTCTGCTCCATTCAGGGTTCTCTTTCCTAAATCTCATGCTTCAGAGAAACATAAAAACAGAACTCCTAGAACACGTACAGCAGAAATTTATTCTTGGCCTCAGAAAGTGACCTGGATGAAGCCTGAGATATAATTAAAATCCTTCTCTTAATGCAGAGCTGTAAATGATATGACCACATTGAGAACCATGTTGGAAACCTTCATTCCCAAAGGCTCTTAAAAAAGGGAACAAAGACAGTAAATCAGATTCCTATGTTTTGAGCCAAAAACTACCACAAATATCTGGCCTGGCTCCTTCCACATCAGCAGAAGGGCAACAGTCACGTTCCATGTCAGATTTCCCATCACTATATATAAAGACTTCATATTAACTACTCAGGAGCCTCCTTCAGTGTGATTTTGATAAACATGACCACAAACTACCATGATGTATTCTAGTGAAACCACAAGTGGCCAATTTATTTTTGATGACACTGAAGGCATACATGACATACATAAGAGATTATTCTGGCCTAAGGTTATTTGACTCTTCTAGTTAAGAAACACATTCCATGAGACGCCGACTCCCCCACAACTCAAAAGAGTGAGGGCATAAAAGGTGTATGTCAATGAGAGCTGGGGGAAGGGCTTTCCTGTTGCACAAATTTTGAACTTCTGAAATTCTTTCTCTTCTCAGCTTTCTTATTGTTAAAAAGTTAAAATCACAGAATCTGCAGGAACTCTGTCAATCTGGCAGTCTAACTTCTACTAATTAAAAAAAAAGTTATAATTAGCTTTGACTCATCAACTAAGTAATTTTTTTTAAACATTTCAAGAATTCCAAAGAAACAAACTAATTTGAAAAATTCACCAATATTATCATTTCCCACAAACTTCCAGGCTCCAGCTGCCATTTTCCAATACAAATGCATTCAGTGGAAAAGGTCCTGACTGGTTGTCTGCAGAGTTTCAGAACACTCACCAGCCTCTGGCAGTCAAACTTAAAATTGCAAGGTACGAATCAGAAAACTACCAGACAGAAAAGCACTGACGTTCTGCTCCATCAAATATGATTTGTAATGCAGCAGCCTAACTGGTTTTATGATATATGGCCAATCCACAGCTATTCTGACCTACACAGCTGAAAAATCCAAGAAATCAATAAATGTACAGTGAGACAGTTTTAATGAGGAATGGATCTGTCAAGCATGACACTTTGTAACTTCATTGCACAATATAAAGAAATTCATTAATGAATCAGTACTATACCAGTCTACTGGAACCATATTTCCGCAGGGGTAATTAAGCTTCTGTGAAGGTCAACAACAAATGGCACTGTCTTTTGTGAATGCCTTTTTGGAGTGGGCACATGATGTTCTGCCAGACAGATTCTCATGCTGGCATTCCACTGGACCAGGAAGCATGCTATATAAGGAGATTTCTTTTCAGAGGCCTGGGTTTTTTTGATGAAACGGCTCTCGTTGTTTTTACAGGACACAAGCAAAAATACACTTAAAATTTCAGAACATGATTCAGCAAGACATTTTCTTTGCAACTTACCCTTTTGTAAAGCATGTGGATCTCCGACAGGTGGGTTTAACAATGTCTAACAAGAAAGCATAGCGCAATAAGGACTTCAGTGGTAAGAAATACTGACTCATTTCTTCATTTTCCTCTTCCAAGAAGTCTTTTAGCATTTGAATAGAAGAATCATTGTCCTGATCATGCTTCCTTTCCATTTCTTTTACTGTTTCAAGCTTAAAAAGAAAGGCCCCTTTTGGTAAACTCTTCTTGCTGCTGCAATCAGGACCAGTGTCTGGATCCAGATTCTTATCTTCAGAAGACAAGAAAGAACTAGCTTCACCCACTTTGTCAATGACTTTGTCCTTGAATAAGTCTTCTAGATCCTGATCTGGAAATCTTGTCAATATCTAAAAACAAATTGTGAGAAAAAAAAATTAAAGAACTGCACTTGACAAACAATTTGATAGCCGACTCTGTAGTGAGTAAGAATTCCTTCAGAGATACTCAGAATAAAGCAAATAATCGTTTCATGTTGTTTTCATGAAGATTTCAAAAAAAGGTTGGCATCAAGATTTGCTGATCTACCAGCAATGATGTCAGAAACAACCACAAATAATTGCTTTCACAAAAAGACCTTTCCAAGGGTGTGAAAAAGGTAGCAGAATGAATTGTTTTCTAGCCCACTATCAGCCACTGTCTCCCAACTGTTTAAAGCCACCTAAGCCACTGGCATGCATCTCAGTTCTTAGAAAACTCAGTATTCAGGCTGAAAAAGAGACAGAATTTAACTTTTCTGTTGATATCATTTATCCCACTCTCCATTCATCAAAACACACCACTAAACTGAAAATTTAACCCTCAATCTTCATGAAACAAAACAAATTCAGTTAACACTAATAGACTCACCTGACCAGGAGCTTGAAAGGAAAATGGTTCTTGGTGAAGCTTTGCAATTAGAAAATATCGCAGCCTAGAATTGGGAATGCCAAGCTGTAAGCAAAATCCACAAGCCTTTAGTCCACGTGATAAAGAGAGAAAAAAGTGGTCTATAGCATCATACAAGTTACCTGCCTTTATATACAGCAATAGAACTATGAGACACTAATATATTTTGCAACTTCAGAGATATCAGTATTAATTGATAATACCTAAACACTTATAACTTCCATACCTAGGTATTTTCAACGAAATGAGCAGACAATTATTCTTTGTACCTCATGGTTTTGACCTTCTCTGTAAATGAACAAGTACATAAACAAACTTTTATGTGAGGTAAAAAGAAAAATTACATGCATCACAATTCCTTGGGACAGGTACTATCTGTTTTCTAGACAAAAGCAAAATGGTGTCTTCTTGCCTTTTTGAACAAACAATTATAAGTCATCTAACAATGAAACAAATGCACCACAACTGGTTTTCAAGCTACCCTCTATCAGCGTCTCTCAGGTATATACAGCACTTCACTGATTCCATTTAGTCTTGCACAATTCTGAAATCTCTCTCAACTCTTTTTTCAGTTGCCAGGGAAATATGCAAACAAAGCCCCTCCTCCCACAAACACAGTCACATTTTCTGTGCTGGGAAATTCACAGGCATCAGCACTTCTGAAGCAATGAGGCTCCTGCAGGGAAAACCACCTTCCTGGTCATGGTGTAAATCCATGCCTTCTTAAAAAATATCAAATGGTAGCAAAGCAATATGGGACTAGGATCTGAAGAATAACAGCAGTATGATTATGCCAGTATACTGGTAAGAAGTCAGAAGTCACGCGAGATGACTTCCTCATTCAAAAGTATCTTCAGCTCTGGGCACAACTCTCTTTTCTAATACAATAGATCATTTTCAAACGTTCTTGGGCTCAGTGCAGTCTGAACAGTTAAATAACATTAGAGTATTTTTAGTACTCACACAGGTTGGAGACAAGAGAAATTCTTGATATTTAAATCCACATGTTGCTAGCGTTCGCAGGAGTTCATTTCTGGCAGTAAAAAGAATAAAAAAGCAATTACTCCCTTCATATAACCTCTAGGCCCTTTTTTATCCTAAATAAAAACACGTTGAAAGCAAGACCTTAGGTACCAAGACATTCAGTGAAAGAACTGGACAGACAATTACAGTTATGAAGTCATCCATTTCTGAACTTGAGGAGACAACATATGCAGTTCAGTGTTACTGTAGCCAAAAACGACTACTACACATTCACAGGTCTCTCACACCTACTTCAGTGCAAACACCTTCAAAAAATATCCCATCACTAGGACAGTATTTATAGTGTGTCAAAAAGGAAAATAATCAGAGGGCAAGACATTCTCTTTATTGTGAATCATAAAACAGGAGATTAAAACCACTACAAATAGCTCACTACTTCCCTCTGTTCACATACATGGCATCAGCTAAGCCTCACAAAAGGGCTAACTCAAGGGATGACAAAAATTGGTAGCTTTGATAATAACAGTGAGGTAGGACTGTACTTTATAAACAGTGGAAAAAAAAAAATCACTGAAATGGAAATCTTCTTAAAAAGACTTGTGTCTTCTATTCCATGCAGACTGCAGTAGGCTGGAACTATACTAAAAGCATAAGCTGTGACCTGTACCTGGTACTGTATGTGACACTGCACCCTAAGTGTCATATGAGAAAGCAAGCATTCTGACTGGGGTGTTTTCTGAACTACAACTTGTTCCAAACACTGGCCAGCAAGGCATAGCCTAGGGAATTGCAGGATCTACAGCAGCAGCCTGCACCTTCAGCAAAGTATTCACGTGTTCAAAGAGGACTGCCGCACGCTTAACCAGTGAGCGCGCTGAACATGTCTCCCAGCTGCCTGCCATATTCATTAAGGAGCATGATGTGCAGGCTGGCTGCTCTCTTGGTGCTTTAAGGAATGCTATGGAAAGATCCTACTCTATTCCAGCAAGAAACGAGAAGGAAGACTGCAACCCCCTGTCTCCTGCTTTGCCCACAAGAGAGGAGAATGCTCCTGCTGTCACTAGGTAACCTTACCGACAACTTTCCTCTTCCACATTTCAAAGATTATAAACAGTCTTCATACTACATCTCTGGACCATTTGATGGCAACCCTGAATGACTGATCATCTACTATCACCAAAGGTACTGAAGAAAGCCCCTATACGGTACTGTGATCTTAACACAAGATACCACAAGCTCCTGTCATGGATAAAACCCCAAAACCTCTGAGTGCTATACCTATTGTTATTTTTCTTTGAAAATTAATATTGACTCTTTCCAAAGGACATGGCATTATCAAATGAAATCAATGGAGTCAACTTGTTAAAACATATTTTATCTGCTTAGAGAAATAAATAGTTATTTAACAAGGTCCTTTCACAACCTAAGATTTTCATTCCTAAACTAAACAGCTGCTAGCTGTTCCATCTCACTATTTTGTTAACTTAAATTCTAGGAAATAAAAATCCTGCTTTGCCCTTCTAAAGAAAAAGTCATTTATTAACAACTAAAACCTGCATAAATTAGACTTTACCTTGCAGAAGAGGATTCAAATCCTTTAACATTTTCTAAAAGTAGGTATTTTGGAAGCTTCTGGAGCCTACAAGGAAAAAAAAAAAAAAAATCAACAAATCAGAGTAACAAGATGTAAACTACATTATATTCATCCACAGATTTGTTTAGTTACGAGAAAGATCAAAGTATTTCCACATCATGCTAGCTGTTAAAGTTTAGCATCCTTACAAAAATGTACCTCAACTTCCAAGGTTGCCTAGATCAAATCATTCCCAACTGAATTAAAAATGTGGACTGCTGGTAACTATAAAAAGCAACAAAACCTACTTATGTTCAGATGGACTGCTGTACCCCATGCATGTACTTCTGAAAATGCTTACCACTGTCATTTCCTAAAGCATAGTATTATTGAACAGATTGATTTATGTAATAGGAAGGATAATTGTCGGGGGAAAAAGATCACTATTTAGCCATGGAACAGAAAACTTTTATTTTAAAGTGCTTAAACCTGAAATCAGTGTCAAAATGTCACATCAACTTTAGCGGTAACACATCAGAACCAGTATTCATCTAATTGCTTTAAGAAATATGACACGTTTAGAGCTCAGACTACAGATACTCTTAATTTTCTATACTTAGCTTTTTCATTTTGAGGGGGGTGGGGGGGAGGGCAGGGGAAGGAGGTTCCTGAGGTTTAGCTAGATCACTGCAGAGGTCTGGAAAAAGGCTCATTCCAAAAACAGCATATTAAATCTCTGGAGAAAGGAACATGCCCAAACTGTGCCAGGGACCATTCTAACAATTTAGATGCATAGATGATTCAGATTCAGGTCTCTGGGAACATTCCCTGGCACTGATTAATCCTCTAGTAAGGCTAATGTAGACATAGTGTGTCTGTCATACATTGGGATCTCAGAACAGCATATAGAAACAGGATACTAATGCCACCAGACAGCAGCACCATGCTTATTTAAGTCAGTAAGTGACTTTGGACTTCCACTGGTACAAATCACAGCAGAATTTGTTTTAGCATGTTCTTAACTACCATCAATTAAAGACATTCACATGAAGAACTAAAGAACTAAAGCATTTCACAAGCAATTGGAAAATGTACAAGATACTACATCAAATTTAAAAATACTAAAAATAACAGTAAAAAAAAAAGTTACTGAACTGAAAAAAGCAGAGGCAGCTAAATTCCCTGCAAAGGAATGGAGAATACATCTGTTGGTATGTTTACCCACACTCAACATCATCATCACCTAGTATGAAACTTATTTTTAAGTAATGAATCCAGAGCATAGCCTAAAATACAAGAGCTCATAGAGGATCAACAGATCACAAGACAAGTAATCACTATACAAAGAGTATGTGTTAAGTACTTGGCAGGTATTAACATTACAAATGTGTCTGTAAAAGCAGTGCTTTGACGTCTTAGCATTAGATTTCCATGGGTTATGGCTTGGACAGGATAAACAGACAGTATCCGGACCATTTGGGTCAGACTTTGTTTGCTGGCTGGGTGCTCCAAGGATTTCCCAGGTCTTTCCAGATCTTGAAACTGGCCTTTCCTTATCTCTAATATTTGTCTTCCCAGGCTATCTTTGAGCCTCATTTCAGCGACACTTCATTATAAAAGGTTGAATATAAGGTAGGAACAGCCAAGGGATGAGAAATTATAGTTTCCATAAACTGAATGCATGCTGTACGAATTTAGAATGCAAAGTGATAATTCCTATATTAAGAATTTCCCTTTTTTGGGCTGAAATACTCCATGTTCAATGTCTGGCAAACATGTCATATCCAAAAAACACACAAACACTATCTCAGTAAAACATAAATCTATTGGAACTGAGAAACTCTGCAGAAGCCACCATCTTGAACATATTACAGACTGCTTACTAAGTGCTCCCTCAAGAAACAACCTGCCCAAGGGAGATAAGGGACATCAGCAGGGTCTCATGGGGTGTTGAGATAAAGTGCCACAGCCAAGCCCAGTTCCTTTGCATCGTCATGACGAAAAACATATGATCTACAGTGTCTGAAGTTTTGGTTTTGAGAAGGAAAAGCTTCTGCCCTTTATCCAGCTAAGCCCACAGCAACCAGGAAGCAACATTTCTATATGAATGCACAACAGTGTCCCAAAAGCAGCCAGCCTCTTAACTGTGTCTCAGTTTAATGGAAAGGAATACTGAGGTCAGGATTCCCTTAAAGATAAGTAAGGTACTATTATTCTGACAAATTATGAACTTACACTCTATCTGCCATTTTTAATTTATAATTTTGAAAGGTCAGTCTGGAGGACTGACTTACATTCCTTGTTCCAGAAAAGACATCCTTTGCAACTTTTGGAAACTCACATTATCTCCCTATTTTTGTGTCTCTGCTAGAAGCAGGGTACTAATAATAATCTTGCTTTTTACCTATTAATTGTCTAACTTACAAGGCTACAGAATCTCTATTGTGTTCTGTTTTGTGTTCTCTGCCACCGACTTCTTAGGTGATCCCAGCCAAGCCACTCAGCCCTTCTGTGCCTGTGTTCTCTATCTGCTCATGACAGGGGCAAAGAGGTAGTCCCATTTAATGGTGCTGGCTGCAAAGAAGTTGTTTCTGGAAGAAGGATGAAGACCCTTTTCTCCCAGTGTTAACAGCAGTTTGAAAGAAAGGCTGCTGTTGGTACCGGTTTCCTTCTGTGCAGAAAGCATTCATTAAAAAACCAAACCAAAACAAAAAAAAACCCCCAAAGACCCAACCAACCAAAAAAAACCAAACAAACAAACAAAAAAAAAGGACAGCCAAACCTCCCTTCATCCTCCTCCAATTCTGAGAGCAAGATTAACCAATGAAGGAACATGTAGAGAACAGTTGTCCCAGTCTCCAACAGAAGCAGGACTGCCAGAAACAGTAAGCATCTGGTGGACTGCAACTGATGCAAATTCTCAGGCTCATGCCAATTGGTGCCCAATGGACATCTCAATTCAGAAGCAGAGATTTCTGCTGGATAATCTCCCTAAGCAACTGCTTGCTCCACTTTCCCAGGAAGGGTTCTTAGTGCTATGCATCTCTTCCCCAAAAAGACTACAAGCATTACTTGGAGCAGATTTTAACACTCTCAGTAAGAACAATTTAGGCAGCAAAACCCACTTTGTTTGGATTTACTGTTTCAAAATTTAAGGCATAAATAATACAAATAATTACAGCTATTTTATTAGGAACTGGGGTCTGACCATGCAAAAATGACACATCAACACAAAGACAATGCAGTGCTATTTGACTTCTTTAGTATTACTACTCAAAACAAGAGATTGTACTACAAACCAAAAATACACAATCTGCCCCAAGATATCTAGCAGCAGCACCAGGAAGACAGAATAGACACTTTAAGAAAGAATGGAAGGGGACGGAAGATGTATCATATTGTACAGTCAATAACATATTTAAACAAACTTTCAAATGTTACCTATTCAAAAGGTGACTAAATGTTGAATCAAAGCTTTTTTAACCTGGTATTTCAAACAATTTTCATGTTTCCACGATGCCCATTAGCAAATTATTATATTACCTACTCCCACTTCTACATAAAGTCAGTGCAAGTTTGACGTTGAACTGAAGATAACTCAATTTTTTTCATTTATGATACAGCCACAGTTTAAACAGACACACAATAAAAAGAAAACCAAACCATGAAAGCATATACAGTAACTATGAGATGATAATGGCATTACTAAAATACAAGTATTTCTAAGTTACATATGATCACATGAAAACGAACAAGTAATACAACACAATACTAGTAGTACCCCTGTAAAAAATCATAGATGACTTGTCCCGCTGAAATATAAAAGACCTACTTAGTTACAACAAAGGCGTAAGAACTGAGGTAGAAGTTCATTTATACCTTGGAAGAATATCAAGGATATAGAGAAAGCTCTTTGTCCGTGGATCAGATACATCACCTTGCAGGCCAAGTCTAAGAAAGAATAAACAAACAATTGTATATTACTTGGAGCAGTCTGACATTTGACTACATTTTTCTATAGAATGCTGACACTTTTTGCTTTGAGTTTCAAAAAGGGATTCTGCAAAAGCATTGTGTACAGACATAAGGACGTGCTCACAGAGGCAGTGTCCTAAGAAATGCTCTGAGGAATGATAGTTTGCCTCTGGAATCCATCAGCTCACAGCAAGGTTAAAATTGAAGCATTCAGTAATGAAATCCACTCCCTAGTCTGCAAAGCGTTTAGCATTCTGGTCTTGTCCAGCAAATGCCTTGAACATACTTGGCTCTGAAAGAACAAAAAAACCCCACTGGGTTCCCGGGAATAGCCTGCTATTTTACATTGAATATATTAAATTATTTCTATGAATTAAAGCCTCAGTGCTCACCATTTAGCAGGATTGAGCCCTACGCAAATAACTTTGTAACCAATTTTGCAACATTAAACTGGACAGCTCATGTAGGTTATAAAAATGATAACGATTCCAGGCCTGTGTTCCCCTAACTTATACTTGTATTAGCTCTTAAAAAAGAATAAAGCCTTGGTAGAAGAGCTTTAGTGTGTCTCTAAATTAATTAGTCATACACAGTTTTTTTCTTTTCACCGTATTATTGAAAAAAAAATTTTTTTTTTAAGGAATGATTGCTATATAAATCATAGATTTGCACAAATACATTTTTATAGACCAGCACCCTTCTAATCTTAGACCATTCAATAACATATACTTTCTCACACAAGCAGTTTCATCACCATCAACAGACTTTTTCATGAAGCTACTACTTTGCATAAGTACAGTTACTAGAATCTTACCTCCACTGGTCACTGCTGTCAAACGATATGAATTTGAAACTAATTGACAAATAACATCTCAGTAAATTCAGTTCTTAATCAGAAAGACATTTCTCTATATCATCCACAAAATCATTTCAAAGCCATTATCCTCCTAGTCTTGGCTAAAATAGAAACATTCCTCAGAATAAACTATTTGTGTGCGTGTGCAATTTTCAAAGTACAAACAAAACCAGATTACACTCTTAGTCTCAGGAAGAAGTGAGAAATTCCAAACCTCCTTCTTTTCCTGAGTTGCCTCAGGAAAAGATTAGATTGATATTTAAAGGGAAAGGAAGCACTCCTAAGCAGCAAAATCTTTGAATTTCACTACTGGAGGAACAATACAGTATGCAAAATAGGTGCTGTAAGAAGCTTACTTAAATTGAATTATAACATATATTACAAGAAGTGTGATCACTTATTAAGATTGAAATTGCTACATTTCTTTCACTTCAGTAAATATCACGGTGAACAGAGCTACAACATTTTTGCTTAAGAAGAGAAAGATACACAGATGAACCACACATAGTGTCACTTTTGAGAACATTTCTCCTTTAACATTACATACTGTAATAACTGCACTTTTCTCCAAAGTGTGCTATATCTACCTTGTAAACGGCTGACAGGGAGGACTCATCAAAATCATATCAAAAGATAATCTGTCAAATTCTTTCAGTGTTATGCCCTGAATAAGGAAAAAAAAAAGAATGTTGAGTGTTGTAAACTGTTTGAAAGTCATCTTTCAGACCAAACTACCCCTCTTACTTCCACTATATGCTTCACCTAGCAAAAAACTACCTAATCGCTCATTTGACCTCATAATTTCAATCTTTTCTACCTTGGCAAACCATACAATGCAAATATGCATTAATTGCTTTAAATACGAGTCAAAACCACTAATGACGTCAGCATCTATACATAATCGTGAGGTTTTTATCTACTCATTCTTTCAGAAAAGGCGTGTAGTTTGTTCTTTCAGCAGATCACATCAAAATACTGACTAGTTATTTCTCCCCATCCCTCCTCCAAATAAAGTATCCTTATTCAGATATTAAGTCTTTGTACATCAAAACTTTGTACTTAAGCTGGTGTCTTAAAGCAAATTCAGATTCTTTTACTGTCATGTTGTAAAACTGTAAAAGAAGATCAAGTATACTGTAATTTCTACCTAAATCCAGGCAAAACAACACACCTAGTTTGCCCCTCAATTATTAAAACAGAATCCAATTTTACCTAGTTGTTCTTCAAATAATTTGGAAAAAGGACAGAATCCCTGAAACATTTGATCTGTTGAGCCCACAAAAAAATGCCAGACTGTTCCATCCAGTATATTTTCTTGTGTTCTACTGAGATCAACTATAACTACAAAATGAAGGCATGACTCCAAGTAATTTAATTAAATTCTTTCAAAATACATGAAAATATTTTTTTAATCTAAAAATATTTTTTTGTCATTCCTTTATTGGTGGTAAGCATTCCTCTTGACATTCACATTACCTTTCTTGATGCAGCCGTCAAGACTTTCAGGAAAAGACTGCAGTGTGAGTATCCCTCTAACTTCAACAAGCAACCATAGCATAAGAAATCAAAGTTATTGTAAAACTGCTATATTCATAACAACATAAATTAAATCTTTTTGTTTCTCTTGTTACTAATAAGGACAGTAAAGACAACTTACTTCTACAAGTGCCAGACTAGAGTAAGAGAGACATTCATTACTCACCTCAATTGCCTTTGCCCATAATGGTGTGCTGGGAAAGTTGTGCTTATAAACTTCATTGGCAAGAGTGTTCACATCAACAGCAGCAACAACTTCTGCAGACGTGCAGCTCTCTAAAATCAAAAAAAGAATTTGAAAACTGTAGCTTCTCTTTACTACTCTTGGAAAAAATGCATTTGTTCAGTTATGTCACAGCTATGCTCAAAAATAAAAGGGAAATTACATGATCGAACTTTGCTGTGTTGCCTTTAAAACTTTATATGAAAAATATACCATGTTTCTAATTGTATGGCCAGTACTTGCCTTCCTTATATATCCAAAAATGGAAGCTAATTGCACACAATTTGTGGAGTTACACATAAACTCCAAACAGGGCGCATCTCTACAACGTTCCCACCCACACTCAGCTGGTCTCTGTAGCCACCAAGTTCCTCAGCTATAGGAACACATCCTGAATCAACCTGCCGAGCCCCCCTGCCACTGCCTGAGCCTCTCCAGCCACTGACAACTTTCAGGAAATAAATGTGTTATTTTAGAAGTATACTACTACTCATTGTGAAAAACTGGTACCAATAAATATGTTTGAGGTATGTCTATTCTTGCAATAAATATTTAAGAAGTTGCCTGAAAAACATTTATGCTTATATTCCAATAAAACCTTGGGCCTTGAACACAGCTGCTGCCTCCTTTGAGTTCAAGGTCCCCAAAATACCAAATGCTTTGAAGGACAACATTTGGCAGCTCCTCTTCTCTTGATATCAAGGGAAGTACTTCTGGACACTTAGAGGTGTTATTGAAAAGAAGAGATCACAGTGTAACAAATCTACTGACAGCTAAATCCTGAAAAAAAATACACTTAAAAGAATGTAAATAAGCAATGGTTAATTTATAGAGTAATAGAATAATACGTTCTACAGAAGCCAAAGACATAAAAAGAACAGTGTTTAAACCACTGCTCATCACGTCACACTATTTATTATTACTAACCACAATACCTTCACTGAGGCTTTGTATCCACGAAGATAGGCTGTGGTCACTGTTATAGCCACAGGCAGAAAACAGTGACCATACGTCCCAATATACACAACCAGTTTCAACCACCAGGAAATTTACATTATGATCACCATTACAAAGCCCCAGATGAAACAGGGGATTTAAAAAAAATCTTTTGTAAACCAAAAGAAACACGGCAAATAGCCACATGCCTTTGAGTAATCTCACAACATGCTCAAACAACACATTGACAAATGACTTTATGAGACATCTTATGAATTACTGCTAGTCAGCTAATTATTTACAGTTTGAGAGGATGAAAAACCAACTATGATATCCCCAGTGGATTTAATTTTGAGTGATGCAGTTATCACCCATCTACTATCTTTCAGGTTTTCAAAGCCATCTTAGTCAAAACTAAGATGAAAGAGAAATCTGGGTATTGGAAAGGCTGTAGCAAACATTTTAACAAAGGCCAGCCTGGTTCTCCTGGGTTTACTTGGTACACAGTAAGAACAGGAGTTTCACAAGAAAAAGATTTAGAGAGAGCTGCCCATTAAGGGTCAGCCTACAAATCATTATTTGCAGTTACTGTCTTGACATTTTGACCATCAATTGTAACTAAAGTATTTAATACAGGTGTATCCAGGAGGACAACAGAATGACTACACCTGAGATTACAGAACAGGTACGTTAACACTGACATCTAGCGTGAAAAGAACGTCACCTTAGCAGGCTGACTGTCCCAATTTACAAGCATATTCAAAACTCAACACTTTCATCTTCCTAAAACAAAGCTGTAACACCTAAGTAATAGGAACAAACTTCAAGTACTGTTTAAGAGAATGCTTTTCTCATTTATTCTTTCAGTTCTTAGAACATGTTGTCCTGACAAGCTGATGCTTAGGGTGAGTTCCAGGCACTCCAGAAGAAAAAAATAAAAACACTAAAAAAAAATCAAGAACTCAAATTATTATCTAAATTAACATATACTTTAAAAATGACAATTGGAAAGGCAGGCAGTGTGCTTTCTCTCACAACTCATGATTCAGACACTCACCCGTTTTACTAACATCAATTCAATCTCTCCCCGCGTACATACACAAGAAAAGAAGTACTTGGGATTTGCATCAAGGGACTTCACAGGCCGAAATACTGAAATAGAGGACATAGCTAACAGTAATTTATTGAATCCCCCTGCGATACAATGTTCAGTCTAAATCAGAGATGTTAATCTGCATGGAAAAGGGACAGGAACTTTTCCTGAGCTATTCCACCCGACATCCTCTCTTCCCAATTCAAAGACCTGATAATTTTTTCAAAGCTTCTCCTCCTTTTCACTCAAAAGCTGTGGCTCACTTGGGAGTTCCTGTTATAGAACAGACTCCCTCTAAAAGCTGATTAAGCGTATTTGTGTGGAAATACCCTGGAAACGCATGAAGGAACTCGAGCAGACAAGCAGATCTCACACATCCAACCTAACAAAGAAAAGCTTGTGTAAATTTCAAACAATGTGAAAATGAAACATTTTTAAAGAACTTCTCCTGAAATTTAAATAACTTTGATGTCAAACTGTGCTATTCCATTTTGCTATAGCAATTATATTTATTACTTGAAAATGACTGTAGCAATGTATCACAAAAAAGACAGAAAGCAGAATGTAAAAAAAAAAAACATAATCAAGACTGTATTTAACTATCCTCACTGACAAAAGGCACAAAAGCAACTCAGGAATATGAAAATGCCCCTGAATTGCTGACTTAGTGAGATGTTAAATCAACTCCCCAAAATATATAGAGGAACTTCAATACAGAAACAGACACAGCTCTGGAGAAATTTTTTTTTTGCCCCCGAAGAAGTACGTCCAATTTTCAAAAAACAGCCATTTAATAGAATTACAACTATGCAGAGAATAATTTCATTTTATGCAGACTAAAGAAAAATAATACACATTTTCTAAGTGAAACTAAGTAGCTGTTGGAATACTTGATTTGCAATACTCCTCGACACTACAGTTTTTGAACTGAGACTTCCAGTTTCTGAATGAGATGTTGTAGCTCAAAAGGAAGCCACAGACATGATGGGGAAATTACTGAGGGAGGTCTTATGGCTTATTTTTAGGCAGACTATAATACCCTCACTTGGCTGAAAGCAGGTGAACTCAGATTTAGGAATCCTATTAGGAAAGTACTGATTTTGCACTTGAGTCTTAAAACCTCTAGCATCCACATAGCAGAAACTCTTTAACTGTTATTTAAATTGCCTAAAGAGGCAGCAATCAAACTTTGGGTCCCTATTCTCTATTTTGTTGTACTCGCAATAGTCACTTGAGTGAAAGGGATGCTGCTGTAATGATTGGAAGGTGTGGCACATGAAACAAAGGAAGATGGGATGTGTGCAATAGCTTCTGATTTGGAAAAAACAAACCCAAAGCGTGTCATCTTCAAACACTGAAAATAAAGTTTCTGACATTACAATATCTGTCCTTTTCCTCTTCAGAATCGATTCCTTTGTCATGTGTTTCTAGCAGACCTAAAATTAACATAGATCTGTTTATATTCACCACTGTACTTTTGTAATAGAATCATCAATGTCAGCAAAGCACATGAAATACATGGTGTTACACCAAGGGCAGAGCCTGGCAGATCTCAGCATATTGGAAAATCAGAGCCAGAACAATTATCTATTCTAACAGGTATATGGAAACAGATGGAAAAGGGAAGATTAGTCACATGTTTTGTCAGTCCTGTTTCCTTTTAAAACAGAGAGCAAAGATTTAATTTAGGCGTCGTCAGCTCTTGGCTGAAATGATTAGGCTGAACTGTCCATGGCTACAGTCAACAGGACTATCAGTAAACTTGATACTTGCTTCCTGCAGGATACTTAGTAACTTTTTTCACTGCTCTACTTGTACAGGATTTGTTCATGTTCAGCCCTACAAACCATGCAAATTTACATTATAGCACAACTAGCACCATCCTGTGCTATGAAGAGCTATATTTTAGAGAAGCAATATATGAAAGTGAGTTTAGGTTTAAAAATTTGCTCAAACTGGCAATTTTTTTTTTTTTTGCATTGTGCTCAATCCTAAAGCTGCTTGCCAGTTTTGTCTCCTTTGCGTCTCCTCCTGAGATAGCTATGCCTAGTTTAATTACGCACACCAGTTTATTATGCTGTGCAATTCACACAGATAATCAAATAAAATGAATAAACAGAGATGACAGAGTACAAGAGACTCAAATTCTTAGTCTGTAAAATTGGAATATAACAATTGCAGAGGAGAAATATCACGAACTTTAGCGCTGCAAAAATCACTTTTTTTTTTTTTAAACGTCCTTTCACTTTTCATGCACGAAGCCTTTTTTCAGTAACCTGGCAGATTACAAATGCTTGTGGCAGAGACCTGGAACCCATTTTTCATGGGAAAACTGCCTAAATTAATAAACCAGTTTAAGTTTGTTTTGGTTGGGAATGAGGAAGAGTAGGCTGTTTGTTTGATGGAAAGTTACTAAGGAAATGAATTTGTAGCCATAGATTTTCTAAAAATAAAACACTTTTTCATTGCAGAAACTCTGCACCTTATATATAAAGGAATACATTCACACACACACATATATATGAAATATCATAGGTTTAGACATACATGATCTAAACATCAATCTTTATAAATCTCACAAAGTTTGGAGCATAGGGCAGGAAGAAAGAAATGCACTCCCATCCCTTAGCTGCCTCAATCTTTCAAGAGTGTGAATATGAACAGACTTGCTGACTTCTGACCTTAATCAAGCTCAACTTTCTAAATCACATCTTTTTGCATGCCTTTGCTAAACTTAAAATACTATTATACAGCATTCAAAATCTAAAACTAGAAATTCTGCATATGCTGAATTATCTACAGCTAAAGAAACAACAGAGCTAGGCAATCCCCAAAATTTTTCTTTTTCAGTTTTGGACTGAAATCTAAATTCAGGAACAGCCTTCTTTTCACTGTCAAAAAGAACCTGATTCAACTATGTAACTATGTACTAATAACTTCTACGTACTGTTAATAGACAAACACTTATGAGAGAGTATAAACTTCTGTGAATTTATTAAAACTCCATTATTTCTTACTGTAGGCAAGGACAATCTCAAAACCAATTGCATACTACTTGGTGCCAAATGCATTCTACTTCTAATGACAGCTGCCAAAACAATGAGCATCTTCATCCAGTAACACCAAGTATATGCCATCCTAAAACTAAGTTTATGAAAGATGACAGCCAAAAAGGCTTCCAGGTAGAAAAGGCAGTGTCAGATTTCCTGGAAAATACCTATTTGCCAATTGAAAACATTGGCAATTTCACAGAAAAGTAGAAAGTTGGACCAGCTCTGCTAAACATAACTGGCCACAAAACTGGCTCCATAACACAGCCAGGAACCAACACTGAGCCAGAACTTGCCAGGACTGCAGAATCCCTTTTGTAGAACAAGTAGCTTTCCTGGGGTGCTGCCACTGAAGTATTTCATGCTCTCTCTCTCTTCTACATGTTTCTATTATTTTTCTTGGCTGTATAGATCCACTAGAAACCATACCAAGAAAATAAAGTATTATACGTAATCTTCATCTCTCATGTATCTGGTTTATGAAAGCACTGGCAAAATGGAAGGCTTGCTTTCAAGCTTCATATTTATACAGAAGAAAAACCTTCTAATATTTCTGTACTTGATTTAAATGGAAGATGCCAATCTGCCACTTGCTAAATGATATCCAAAAAACTGTATCAGAAACATTTTCAAATAACATGGTTTCATGTACACATATAGGCCTAAAACATATATGAAACCCTGTTATTATATACAAAAAGTACTTACAGAGGAACATTCACTTTTTTGTTTGATTTCCACATAAAAGCAAACACTTAAATCCCCCTTGACTTTACTTTGTTCCTTTATAAATTGTATAAGAAAACTGAATCCAGATGTCTAAGAGACTTAAAAAGAGAAAACAGCAGAAAGGACCAAAATGCCTGACTGTCAGTATTCCTGAGTGTAATTCAATTCATCAAAACCAGTTTTATATAATGGCCTGTCATTAAATAGTCAATTCAGTGCAAATTGCACAGAACCGTTTTTCTTCAAATTGCCTCACTATTAGTTTTAACAACACTCAAACCAAGATTTTCATCTAGAAGTATACGGTTTGGACTTTTTCGAAGAGAACACAACGCCTATGGGCCGAGTTCTCATATGCTTCCCAGAAAAATAAGCACTGAGATTTGAAAAAAAGTTAAACCAACTGTAATGCAAATAGCATTGTATCTATACGCCTTGCAAATTTCAATTGGTATTTAACAATTTAATACTATCTAGGGTAATTTATACAGATAATTTAAGTCTCCTCTTATACACAGTCCCTTCATCTGCTTAGGCTGGTATGACTACAAAAGAATCTGTGTCTCACTTCATACTCGGTAGAATTTCTTCAGTCAAATATAACCCAGAATAACAGAAATTACAACATGTACTGACACTGATGAAGTTGTTCAGCAAGTTCAGAAACAGTGAGCTTGGCAAAAAATATACCTTTTCAGGAAAAAATACAAGGGGTTTGGTTAATTCCTTCACCCTCCAAACTACACAAGATATAAATGTGATATATGCTCTCAAGCCTTCATATGCACAGTAACTATCTACTGGATACAGCATTCTGTTTACAGTATTCTGATAACCTTCTAAGGCTGCATTCCCAATACTCCCATTCTTTTAAGTGTTTTGTTGTGTTGTAAAGGACACTTTCTTAGTTAGCCATCCATAGGCTATCACATCTGGCATTACAATTTATTAACTATTGCAGAACACTACCAAACATTCACAAGACACCTATTATTATGTTAAGAACAGAGTTAGATAACATTCAGTAAAGATTTGTTACATATATACACACAGTAACACATGACAAATGGCTGAGTGAAGGACCATGGTGTAGGCTAAGTTTCAGGAACCAATCCACTTTCTATGGAAATATGGAAATTGTCTGTAACATGTAGATAGTTCCCCATCACTTCACAAACCAGACTACTAGAAAAGTAGAGTATTACTATTACAGCTATATACACAACATACAATGTCTAACACTCTCTCTTCATTCCACAAAGACTCCAAAATCTGCACTTCCATACAAAGATATATTTTGTTCTTAATAATCTAAGGATGTCTCTGGAAATAAGGAAAATGCATCCCTACAACAGGCAGGCAGGATTATTTACAGTAACGATGTAGGTACATATTTCGGTATGTCATGTATTTTTACATATTATATATATGTAAAACATATACACATTCAGGTAGAAATTAGAAAAAATGTTGCACTGCCAACTGTGAGTATGTTTTAAGTCAATGAACAACACTAAATGGATTCTACTCTGTAAGCATAACCTTTTAATATTACTCAGCTCACTGGAAAACTAACAAGATAAGTTTTCACCTGATTTTTTAATGAAAATGCTCTCTGTTGTAAATAGAAGGGCTGCTAATGCTTATGAAGGGTGAAGTATTTGAAGGATTGTAGGTACAATTAAAATTATTATGGTGATTCTCTTAAATTACACATTTTTTTGTTGAAGCCTGTACTTCGAAGTAACAAGGCCCAAGGTACTTTACAAAGGAGATCAATAAAACTAGCTCAATTATTTATTTGGGGAAGCCAAGTCACAGAGTCTACAGAACTTGCTGAAGGTCACCCAGGCCATGCTTTAATACAGCAAATTCAGCTCCAGAGTTCCTTGTAGATCAAAAGCTAACCAGGGCACATGGTCTAGCATGAATTCTCTATACCAGTTTTCATATTTAGGAAATGCTATACCAGTCTCATATATGGATCATGTATCAGCTATTCACCTAACTATGCGCCATGAAAACCCAGTCTGCGTGCACGCCTATCGGATACCCTGGCTAATTTGCCCGAGTATCATCCTGTGCGTCTGCATGATCCCGATCCCATCCGCAGCAGTGGTTTGTCAGTACAAGACAGAGCACGTATTAACAAAGACAAAATCCCAGCCTTCCCGGGAGCAGCTGCCCAGGCTGAAGCAGGACCACGGATCCATAATTTCCATCCTAGCGTGCTCCAGGGTACCTGGTGCCACCCAGCAGGCCGCGAATTCTTTCGGGCACTGCTCAGTTTACAGCCACAGGCCCCCAGTGCAAACATACTGCTAGCCAAAACTCAGCTGCCAATGCCCAGTGCTGCCAATCACCCCCAGGCAGTCCCTGACAGCAGGCCCATGAGACAGCCACCTCCCGCGGCTCCCTTTAACACCAACCCCGCCGCTATAAGGTCACTTCCCTGTCACCGCACCGCGGCAGACTGTGTGTCCGGGACTTGGGATGAGGGGACCCCCTCCCACCCCGTACCTTCCTTCCACACGGTGCTTGTGCAAGATGGGGGGGAGCGGCGCGACACGCCCGGCCGGGGAAGGGGCTGTGGGAAGAGAGGGGCCATCTTAACCCGCCCCATCGAGAAGATGGCGCCCTCCACAGCCTCCCCTCAGGGGTCGGGGTCCCACCAAGAAGATGGCGCCCTAGGAGGTGGGGTTGGGCGAGGAGGCGGGCGGGCGCACGGCGGAGCTGCGGCGGCAGCGAGCACCGAGGGACGCGCTGGCGGCGGCGGCCGCTCGCCGGTACCTTTCAGGGCCTGGTGCATCCCCCCGATGCCACTGTAAAGCTCCAGCACCCGCAGCGGCGCCATTTTCCGGCGTCCGGCGCAGCACTCCCGGCGGCCTCCCTGAGCGCCGCCCGCCCGTTCCGCCGCTCTTTCGTTCCCACCTGCGCGCCGCCCGCCCTCCGCCCTCCTCCCTAGCGCCCGCAGCTCCCTGCACAGCCCCGGAGCAGCGGCTCAATTTGGCGTTGCTAATTGCTCATTAAACCCCAAAGCGGGCTTAGGGCCTGGAGGACGAAGCCACCCGCTGGCATGACTGGTTCTGCTGCCCCTGAGGCCGACGTGGGGCCAAAGGCAGACGTGGGGCTGATACTGGCTGGCAGCTCTGCACCCTCCCGGGAGTGGGGGCTCAGGAGAAGGCCCTTCTCCCGGCCATCAGTCCCTGCGGTCAACGTCTCCTCACAGGGGCAGCAACGAAATCCCCAACTCCATCGCCCTTCCTCAGGCCCTGCTGTGCCACCGCAGGGTGTCCAGCGCTTGCCGGGGGGGTGGAGGCCAAGCCTGGACCTTAGTGTCAGGGCAGCAGGGAAGGGCAGGCTGGAGGCCGAAATTAGTTTGGGTGGCTTGCACCTGGCCAGGGCACAGGGAGAGAAGAGGGATGCAGGGCGGCAAAAGGGGCTTATCCCTGTGCGGGGGTGCGCGTGCTGGCCTGCTGTCTGGCTGGGCAGCTGATGCGAATGGCCCTCAACAGTTTTATGAGCCTAAGCATTTCATGATTTCAGCGTGTAGTGATGTTTTTGAGAAGTCATTTCAAAGCCTGCACCACTGGTGGAACAGGAAGGAAGGAAGTAACTGATGAAACTGTTCTAATTTGCCCCAACACTACGAAATTGCTGTTGCTAAATTGAAGAGGCAACTTAAAGACATTGTTGCCCATGAAAAGAAGTTTGTTTTCAAAACAAAAGCTAGACAGACACTATAATGTGGGTTACCCACCATATACAAGTAGACGCTCACCTATGCCTCAGTTTGCAGATTTAGATTGTAAAGTGAAGATGAAACATTAAAAAAAAAAACCAAAAAAAACCCTCAGCATGTTTCTCTAATAATTTCTTGAGTTAATCATATTTTTGTGGAGCCTCTTAGAAACCTGGCAAAAACAAGGTAGATTTGAGGAATATTTATTTTTCCTTAGAAGCTGCCTCATACAGCCTGTCATAGCTCCTACCTCTTGCCTTTCAGTGGGGGAAGAATTTTTAGCTGAAACTGAAGGGCAAAAAAGAGAGAGATCTGCTGCCTTTCAATGTACTTCTCCAGAATATGGGACACATCAACTGCGGAAAACAGTGGAATTAGAAACAAAATTTCAAAGTAAGAATATTGGTCCTTGCCAGCTTTTTCAAAACAGTTCTGGCATTCATCTGTGGATCTTCATCATCAGAGTCTGGGGCTGCTGCTTTCTGTGTCAGCCATGGACGTAAGCAGGTGACTAAAACAAGAAGTCCAAGGTCTACTTTAGAATTTCTGAAAGGAAGTGAGGCAGGTTGCCTACACAGATGGCTGGCTGACGGAGAACTGAGAAAGGTGGCTGAATCACATGGCATAACAAAAGCAGGAATGTGCCAGCTGGAGAAAACAGTCATGGGACAAAGACGGGGAAGGCTCTGAAGAAGAGTGTTCAAGATGATGAAGGTGGCTACAAAGAGCAAGGCTGTTATCAGCTACGAAGACACACTTCAATAGAACCCCTTCAAAATACAGATGCAAGGTGAAGGTAAAGAAAAAGGCAGCTTTTAGACTACTGAAATTAGTAAAGCTGATGAATGAGTCTGAGCTCCTTGTGTTACTATTTCAGCAACATCACAGCAATGCTAGATACTGTGATGAGCGGGAGCTGTAGGCAGCTGGGAGCAGTTCGTTTATTTGGAGCTGCCCAGTACCTGGAGCAATTAAAGCTACAGAGGAGCAATATTTCCTTATATCAGACAGGGAGACAGCTGAGCCGTGTTTTTCCTCTCCTTTCCCTGACTCCAAGGTATTCTTGCCATTCGCGCATGGGAAAGGTGGAGTCTGATGGAGAAAGCAGAGATGTCTTTGCTATACTGGTGGCAGTAGGACATTCCCTGCTCAGGGGAAATTCTCCACCTCCTCCACCAGTGTAGTAAACTGGAGAATCTGATCAACACATCTCCACTCTAGCAACAAGGAAACTAATTAACTAGGTTGGGATTTTATTGGCTGCTTCTTGCAAAGAATCAGAAACATCAAAATTTCCCTAGTGCTCATTTTTAAACAACTGCCAGTAGTCAGTTTTATAATTCTGTATAACTGTGTCTACCCTAACCTGGTTCTCGTTATTAATTGACAGCTGCAAAAAGGACCAAAATGAAAACAGGGAATCTGGAAACAGTTACTTTTAGTGCTCTTCCCTTTATAAATGTAAAGTCAGCATAATAATAACAACCATACTTTTTGGATCAGACCTTACATAACAGTATTTAAGTTATGCTGCTTATTTCAGAGACTGGGGCAATGGCCAAGAAGTGCTGAGATCCATGGCCACTCATATCTTCTTCCTTACAGAAAAGCTGAATGATTGCAGAGAGAGGATGAGCCCTGTGAAAGCAATTGTTCATGCTTCACTCAGAATATCTTGCTAACATATGCTGCCACTGCCATGGGGCAGGATTAACAGTTGCTCACTCTTTGTCTTGTGACCCCAAAGCAGCCACATGTCTGCAAAATTTCCCAACTAGATCTCTCTGACTTACTGAAATTGGGATATTGTGACAGCTCCTTCTTTGTCTGCTCCGTGCATATAGGATGGATAGGATTCCTGTAAATCTCAACGAACATTTAATTTGATTAACAGAGGATATTAATAACAGAGTTGAAGTCCAATGTTCACTTCTGGACTCTTCAACATTTTTTAGGACACAGGTATGGGCTGTTTCATATACCAGTTATGGCTCAACAATATAGCTGGCTTTAAATAACAATTGATAGGCTTTTCTAAAAAGATGTTAATTTATTCTAAATGAGCACATCTATAGAACTATGATAATGCATTGATGAAGCAGCTATTTTCTTAACTCTAATATATTTACAGTAAAATATATTTTAAACAAACTGATAATTTAATGACATTTTTAAAGCTGTCGACATAGGCATGTGATATCAGCATTTTCATTGAGACAGCTTTTGAAAACTCCTGTCTCTTAGCAACTAGCAGCATTTCCTCAATGTAGAAGTTTCCAAAGTTTGCCCACATCTCTGATGAGTGGTATGATACAGGTAATCACGCTAGATCTGAAGCTGTTGCCCTAGAAACCTATAAACACATCCAGTGAAACAGCTACGTGTGGTAAGAGGAACACGCAAATGAAACCACTGCAGTATTTTCTCTTCTTAAAATGCTGTAGAATTGTTAAAAATGTTACAATTATCAATGCTGCCAAACAACATCACAGAAACGTACAAAAACCACTGCCTTAAGATTCTGCATTGTACTTGGCAACTGAAAGGTAAAATTACAAACTATGACTGGACCGTATGTATACTCTTTTCCTCAAAGTGAGAAGAAAAGATTTTCACTGTTGTGTTTCTATAATTCACACCAGCAACAAATGCACACAACAAACCTACACAAAACATTTTATAGGCATCTTAAGCCTTCTGCAGCTACACGTTAACTCTTCTCCCTGCCTTTCCATCTGCAGCAGAGCAGACTAACATGCCAGCAAGGCCCCTGCCTGCACCCAGCTGTGAGCAGGAGGTTGCCAGTCTGCAGTGCCTGTCACAGGCTTTTATTGATGCCACAATACCGCAGCAGTATAAACTGCTTGAAGTTTCCTTTGAATGCAACCCCTCAACGTAAGGCTAGGTAATGGAAGCTAGTAGACCCGTAGCTGTGAAGTGTTTGTGAGCCTTTCCTCTATATTCAAAAAATGGAGAGAGAGAAAACTCCCCCTCTGCCGATCCACCAGATGTTTAAAAGGGTGTTCACAGTGATCAGCCAAAACTTCAATACAGGCAAATATTAATGTTGATGGCTGAACAACAAACAATGCTTCTTGTGTCTGAATGTCCAGTATAACCTACTAAATACTTAAGTGGGCATCAGGAAGAGTATACAGACATCTCAGCTGTCTAGAAGGGAAGCTCATGTTCTGGGTCAGAAATCGCTGTGGCTAGGAAAGAATGTGAGGCATGTCATACCCTCGGAATGCAATCACTGAATTGAAAAAATTCACTGAGAGTATCTAGCATGAATTATTGTTTCCATAACCATTGGCCCAGTAGGTTACTAATAAAACTGAAAACCTTTTGCAGTTTATCAAAATGGATCTGTACTGGATGTAATGTTTCAGGATGGAATTTATCACACTTGGTTTCTGCTGAAGTGATGCTCAGCAAAGGTAGCTGTCAGCCACAGACGTGGCACTTCTGGGAAGCCTGCTGGGCCATGCCAGTATGGCTAACGAAGCCTACGATTTTCATTTATAATGCCACGCATCTGCAAGACTAGAAATGAAACCCACATCAAACCAGGTTTGTTAGCCTCTCCCAACGCGTTTCTAAGAACTCTATACAGGGGAAGTTTATGTAGCTGAAATTATTTGGAAGAGTCCTCAGACACAAGCATTTTTAACCTTTCTCTTTTCAAATATGTTAATCTCTCCATTTCAGGATTTTATTTTCAGGTTCTGGAGCTATGCATATACTCTGTAGGGAATAAGGAATAAAAAGACGTTGCTTCTCTAATTAAATCTTTACTTTTCTAGTTTAAATAAATTTAAATCTAAATAAATCTGGCCTGTTTGTTATGTTTGGCCTCCAGTGGTCACCCTGGCTGGATGAGATGCATATGTTTACATAATGTTACTGACTTTCTTGTTGTACTTACACATTCCAGTGCTTGATGAAAAAA